TAAAATAGTTTAATGGGACTGAATTTGTATTTAACGTGGTTACAATTTAATAAAAACATTAGAAATTGATCATTATAAAACGTTTCCTTTCCAAGGTTATTCAATCAGCGAATATATTATTATACAGAAACATCACTAACTTTGATCTATGGCGAGTTTAAGCACTCTCAAAAAAACTAAACTATCGTTATAATCACTTAAGCTGTCTACACTGTGAAATTAATCTCTTGCTTACATTGTACATACCTCTGCGTGTCATGTAGCCTAATAAAATATGTTTAATGGGACTGAATTTGTATTTTACGTGATTACAATTGAATAAAAAACGTTTATACATTTAGTATAAAACGTTTCCTTTCCAATGTTATTCAAACAGCGAATAAATTATTATACAGAAAGTGACATTATCACTAACTTTGATCAATTGCGAGTTTAAGCACTCTCAAAAAACAAAACAAGACTATCATTATAATCACTTAAGCTGTCTACAGTGTGAAATGAATCTCTTACTTACATTGTACATACATCTGCGCGTCCGGAATTCAGTCAGCGAACGCGCGCGCACTCAAAACTGATGAGTTTCAGCGATGACTCATCTGAACGCCTCTTACGCCTTTCGGTTGCCGAAATAATTTAAAATTAAACTATTCACTCATTTTATGATTGATATGTTACATTTTAAAACAACTAAAAAAAATAACAGCACCACCTCTCTTGCGCGTGTTCACTTCTGAGTTGATATTCTGTGTTTCGGAGCAGCTCAAGATTACAGTCACATACAAGATAATCTGTTTTTCTTTTTCTCCTTGTAGCTGGAAATCAGCTCACAGACAATTTGAAGGGCTATATATATATTTTTTTTTAATAATTACAGTCTTGCTTGCGAGAACTCCGGTCTGACGCACGCGGGTTCTCGCGTTATTTCCTTATCACTTCTCGCGTGTGTTTTGTTGTGAAACATAGTTTGCGGACCAGACAGAGCTGTCGGCGATTCTTCCTATTGTGAAGTCATGCAGTGTGAAACCCCCTGTCGCCGATCCATCGTGCAATGTGAACACAGCAGCAACTGAATGCTACCCCAGATAGTCACGCAGTGTGAAAACAACGGCGATCCGACGACTTTGAAAATCGTGCAGTGTGAACTCGGCATTATTTTTGATGCGCAACCGAACCGTGTAACGTTATGTGCGCTCTCGGCGCACTGATTACTAAAACATCATGTTTCTGCTTGAACACAGTTCAGTCGTATATTCACGTAATTGTCAAAGTTAATGTACAGCAAGTGTTTTATAACGGATGCTCACCAAAGAGGCGTGTTTTAGAGAATTTTGTGAGGATCAGTGGTGTTTATGTAGCCTACATATGGGCTCCAAACACATACACAATCGCTTGTTCTGACTTTTTAATCACTGTTCACTAATAACGTCGAGCCGACTTCAGATCGCTGAGTCTCCACATATGCAGAATGCAAAATACATTTTTCATTTGTATTTTGGTGTGTTTAGTGATTCTGAATAGGGCCGTATAGTAGTTTATATGCAGTCCTTTGGCACGTCCCTGTGGTCTTGTTTGGTACGGCAGGTTGACTTGTGCTTATTTGTTAAAGTTACTTTATAATTGAGCTTTAGGTACTTTTAAGTACTTTTAAGTTGTAATGAATGCCTGCAGTGACATTTTTGCAAAGTATGCACTGAATATTTAAATATATCTTGAATTTGTTTTGTTAAAAAATAATTAAATGGAATTGAAAAGTAATAACACGAGAATGCAAAGGTTTTTGTGAATAGAACAGGTTGGGGGGATGATGGGGGGGCTTGCGGTATTGATTCGGAGAGGAGGGGGACCTCGGAGTAAAGAATGTTGAGAACCACTGCTCTAATTAAACCCCGCCATAATAAAACTCTACTGGCAGCTGAATGTTTTCGAGGTCACAAACTGTTGTACAACACCATCTAGTGTTAATATTAGTTCCTGCATCATTCACGAGCAAAATGAAGCATATGCGCATGTGATATATACAAACACTCTTTCTTTTTCATGTATTTATTTGCATTCAAATATGATTCATATTGCTTTTTTTGCCCAGTCATGGATGTTATCCTCAAACAAGATTTAATGAAAGGCAACACAGACACTGTAAACTTGAGAAGTAATTGCAAAGACCGGCTGTGTTTAAAACAGCTCAGTCCACGGGTGGTTTGTGTGAACATCAAGGTGAATGGAATATCATTGCAAACAATACACTTTGGGGTGTCTTCGAGTACCGTAAAAATAAGAAAGAAGGAAAAACATAAGCATGGTACAAACACGAGTGAGCTGTAATGATAAAAACCCAAAATAATTGCTCAGCTGACAGACACACTCACACATACACTTGATCATCATGCACAAGCTAAACACACGTACATACCTGGGCACGTTCTCCCTCACACACACAAAATGACCCACACATTTGCACTCACTTGCACACCCACGTGAAATTAAAAGTAAAAAGTGTGAAACCCTGGTTAAGTTGCATACATCCACATATTGGTGTTGTAGAAAACGAAGCTGAAAATGAATTGTGAAAGTGAAGTCAGATGAAAAGTGAAAAGCATGCCTAAATAAACAGCTCTAGCCCCGCCCACATCCACTCGAACCCTGCCTCAGCTCCGCCCCCTGCCCTGCATTAATATCAGCAACAAACCTAGAATACTAAACAAAATAGTGTACTCAATTCATCTCCCTTAATGATTTTAGCGAGGATATGCGACCCTCAGCGCGGGGTTTTATTAACTGAGGCGTATTGACTGTTTCTTGAGGCGGCGAGATGGTCCAGTGAGGTAGAGCCAGATTTCGGTCCACAGGTTCTTAGCAGGTTTATAGGGTTTGAGTCTTCAGCTCGATGGGCTCCCCGCGGGTCTCCTGCTGGTTCTCGGCCTCTGGGGATCAGCTGCCCTTGAGAGTGGCTAGCCGCTCGGAGAGACCCCGCATACGGGGAAACAGCATGAAATCATACAGGATGGCACCCATAGCGCCACCAATCATAGGTCCCACCCAGTACACCTGTCAGAAAAAGAGGGTCACTAAATACTTTATTCCTGTAGTGCGGGACAGTTTCAGTACTTTACTTTGCGTTTCTTACCCAGTGGTTGATGAAATTCCTCATGATGACAGCAGGAGCGAAAGATCTAGCTGGGTTCATGCCAGCTCCAGTGTAGTACATCTGATTCAAAGACAAACAGGGTACATTTTTGGTGTACTGCACACTTAAAATACTCACAAATGTTTATTCTAATACTAAAATATCCATTCTCACCCCCATCAGGTGGCCCATGGTGATAGAGAAGCCAATAGACAGAGCGGCAGAACCCAGACGGCCGTTTCGTCTCTCATCTGTGACGGCGAAAACACAAACCACCAACTGCATGGTAAGAAACACCTCCACTGTAGTCGCCATGCCGAGACTCATGCCGGGCTGCAGCTGCAGAGACATAAAGTATAAAAAAAGATTTAAAAGCCTGCAACATAGATATACAGTTCTGTAAGGGCCTATTAGCGCAGTACTGTGTACTTCTATAGTACTATATACAGTATGAATACAATAAATACGATTTCAATACATACAATTTATTAGATAAATAGATTTCCCATTAAAACACATTTGGACTCTTATAAACTCAAAATTAATTAAAATAAATAAAATAAAAATTAAGATTTATAAAATAAATAAAATATATTTTTATTACAAAATAAAATAAAATTCTTGTTTTTTGCGTCACTCTTACCGTGTTAAGTGCCAGTGTGCCTCTCATGTTGTTGGGTGTAACTCCATAAAGGGCCGCGGCTCCTGCCATGGCCCCAAGGCACTGAGCGCAGATGTAGAAGAAAGCTCGGAAAAAGGACATCTGAGAGCCGACTAAGTAGGCGAAGGTGACGGCCGGATTGATGTGTCCTCCACTGATGTGGCCGATGGATTGGATGAGCGTGGCAGCAGCGAAACCGAAGCAGAGGGCGGTGTGGAAGACATGGTACGGCCCGGAGGTCCAGCGTAACGCTGCGCCCATCCCGAAGAAAACGAAGAACATGGTGCCGAAAAACTCGGCGAACACCGCCCGCCAGAACATCATAGAGCGGAACTCCCACATCGTGATTTATGAGATCCAACTAAAATTAAAAACCGAAGCTTATTTAGAGTTAGCAAAAGTGGCTAAAGGAAGTGTCTTTGAGGAAAAAAATAAAAGTGTCCTTTTTAACAAGTACACAAAAAGTTAAATCCTTAACTAGTTGATCTGAAGCTGCCGCAAAAAAACAAAACAATCGAGGGCGAAAAGAGTGATGAAAGTCCACCTAATAGAACTAGCCGTTAGCTAAGGCCGTGTGGGAAGCCGCGAGTAAACGGTCACACATTTAGCCGCACACAAGTCGTCTCTGCCAGCGTTGTTTCTCTTCGCCTGCACAACACCCAGACTGCTAAAGAAACATGAGGTGTGTGTGGCTGTGTGTGTGCACGCGCAGAAGAACAAAACAATCGAGGGCGAAAAGAGTGATGAAAGTCCACCTAATAGAACTAGCCGTTAGCTAAGGCCGTGTGGGAAGCCGCGAGTAAACGGTCACACATTTAGCCGCACACAGGTCGTCTCTGCCAGCGTTGTTTCTCTTCGCCTGCACAACACCCAGACTGCTAAAGAAACATGAGGTGTGTGTGGTTGTGTGTGTGCACGCGCAGAAGATTTGGAGGGTTTTGTCAGAGAGATCTGAACATCGATGCTAAAGGCTAAATCTACAGGGCTAATTCTATATGAGCGACACAGAAGAGGTTACGGAGCATATCCTGCCCACACCTAGTAGAGCTGGTCTGATGGACCACAAAGGGGCCATAGGGGGCATTTATAATGGCTTCGGGGCCCAGCGTGACGACATAATCCCCCCCGAGAGGCAGAAGCTAAAGGGGGCATCCCATAGCAAGCACACGCCACTCACTTCTCTCTGCATTAAACTCATAGAGAGCGAGATTAAGACAGGAACACCAGGGCTCAAAGTGAAGGGGATGTATATTTTTGATGCCTATAGTGGCCTAAAGTACAAAACAGATCCACCAATCAGATTTTAGTGAGGTCATGAAATGTCTCATTAAAATTTGCTTTCGAAACGCTTATAAAAATCAGGAAAGTTGTGGATTTTTATCAGAACTTCATGTGGATTTAGGTTTGACGGGCGAGTTAGTGCTGACCTGAACTCACACACAGGCAGAACACACACACAACGCACATCCTCAGAATGATGCCACGCATCTGCACACACACAATGTGCGTCCGATCCGGCGGCTCAAGAGAGGCCCTATCGTTCTATCTATCTATCTATCTATCTATCTATCTATCTATCTATCTATCTCTGTCCGTCCGTCTGTCTGTCTATCGTTCTATCTATCTATCTATCTATCTATCTATCTGTCTGTCTCTGTCTGTCTGTCTATCTATCTATCTATCTATCTATCTATCTATCTATCTATCTATCTCCTTCCTTCCTAGTCTGTCTGTCTGTCTGTCTGTCTGTCTGTCTGTCTGTCTGTCTGTCATTCTATCATTCTATCGTTCTTTCTATCTATCTATCTATCTATCTGTCTATCATTCTGTCATTCTATCTACTGTTATACCGGTCTTTTTTTGGATGTAAAAAACTGTAAACATGATGGTGTAGATGTTTTTTTTTTCTTGAAAGAAATCAGTGCAGTGTGGTTTATGGATATGTTATTGAGTGCTGTTGGTGGTTCTGGTTTGTTCAGGGCAGAAGTGATTAGGCAGAGGTTTGTATTGTGTGTGGAGCAGGTCGTTTGTGGAGGGCCGGGGGGGCCTCATAGCCGGATAAAGCCTGGAAAATCCCTCTGTTAGAGGAGCTGATGGTGAATTAGGATCGCTGATCTCATCTGTTTTACTCCCTCACTTACACACACACTCACACTCATACACATGTATGCTGAACAAAACAAAATGCTGGCTGGCACTGTGTGGATGTTCATCATTGTTTAAGTGCATTTGTGTGTTATTAATAGCTGCTATGTATGATTTCTGCATGTATATTCTAGCATGAATGTGCAACACAGCTATGTCCATATGTAAACTTGAATATGTGTGTGCAAATTTATATGCATAAAAGGGGTGATATGGGAATATTGGCACTTAACATTGTGCATTAGCATGTTCAACATGCTTTCTGTAAGAACACAGAAACAAAACTATTGAATATTAAAGTTTATTAAATTCTGCTACAGTTACAAAGTGAAATGTGGATGTGAAGCAGCTGTGCTTTTTATTCCTATTTGATATAATTTACAGAAGATTATAGTTTGATATGATTTAAGTAAGAGTTTAAGAATCCCATTATTCATAAATATGAAAGTCAAACTAAATTAAAGTAAATCTTGTACATCTGCCTAAAAGAAAAAACAGTTATATTTCTTGTTATAAATAATTGAACAAAAGATATAATGACACTATCAACAAACACACTGACATATACACTTTAAATGTTGTTAAACACTTTCAGCTATAGCCATAAAATCACATTTAAGCTGAAATCCGGCAGCTATTTGGTTAACAGTGGATTTAGGAAAAAGAACATAATACTATTGAACCATAATAGCAAGCTCAAGCCACATAGGCATATGTTTGGCACTTTAATATCTATGCATGTGCAAGCTGAGGGTTTTTACACACGGTGTTAATTACATAGACAGCTTAAACAGTATAGTATACTGCTTCCGATCCACAACAGAACATTCTAGTACGAAAACATTTTTATAGAATATTTACAGACTTTTATGGATTAGATATTAATGTGCTAGTTAACTCTAAAGCCTAATGTATCATATTTGATATGCAAGTTTCCAAGGTTTCTGAATTATCAACATGTTCAAAACCATAATGAAAAACTTGTTTTTTTTCTCTCTACAGATTCAACAATCTGTTCACCTTCAAAAATAATAATAATAATAATAATAATTCCTAAATCTCTTGCTGCATCTCTCAATTCATGTTAGCATGGTTATGACGAAACTACACACGATCTGTTGTGTTCATGTTTCATAAATAAGAGCCATTGATTGGTTGTTTGTGACTAAATGTAAAAACCTGCATTCTGAAAGAAGTGAGCGTGAGCTTAGCTGTGCTCCAGTTTGTTGCCTTGTTTGTTTCTCATGGCGCTTTGTGTGACAGTGGACAGGGACGATCGAGACACGCTGGCCGTCTCCACAATCTCAATGTCCTTACAGGTCAAACAAGCCACCAGCTTCTGTCTGGACGCACTGGGGGCAAAGATGAACTCATGAGACACTCCAGCCAGCACTGCACCTAAGATTGGACCGATCCAGTAGACCTGAAAACAACAGAAAGCATATATACATAGCATTTAAAAAAACTGGTAAAAACATAAAATAACTCTGCACATCTATATTTATCTCAATATTTGTATTCAACCAATGCATTTAACTCTTTTCAGATTTCTAGGCCTTTGATTGCAGTAGTAAACTACAGCAGGGTAAATTCCTATACAGGTTCATGGGAGACCATGGTAAATATTTTTTTCATGCTGACATTTGCTCCAGCAGCTAAAGTTATTACGTTGTTGTTTTGTTGTATTCTAGATTTGATTAGTCAACAGAGCTGCTTAAAATAGTTTTGCTTTGCTTACCCAGTGATGTTCCCAATATCCAAGTATTATAGCGGGACCAAGAGAGCGAGCTGGGTTCAGACTGGCACCAGAAAACCTGCCCTAAATCCACACACACACATACGTTAAAATAAATAAATAAATATATGTATGTAAGTATGTACATATGTATGTGTATTTACAATAATACATGCAGAGGGAGGACAGAACAAAGGGATCATTATTCATAAAAAATATTATAAATAATAATTTAAAAAAATAGCTGTCCTGTAGCTCGACTAGCAATGCCAAAGTCATAGGGGAGGCACATACACTACTGTCCAAAGGTTTGGGGTCTGTAAGATTTTTAATGCTTTTGAAAGAAGTCTCTTCTGCTTACTAAGGCTGCATTTATTTGATCAACAATACAGTACTATTGTAAAATATTACGAAAATGTAAAAGATGTCATTTATTTCTGTGATGCAAAGCTGAATTTTCAGCATCATTACTCCAGTCTTCAGTGTCACATGATCCTTCAGAAATCATTCTGATATGCTGATTTGATGCTCAAGAAACATTTCTGATTATTATCAACAATGATAACAGTTGTGCTGCTTCATATTTTTGTGTAAACCTTGATGCATTGTTTTATTTAGGATTCTTTCATGAATCTAAAGGTCAAAAGTTAATTTATTTGAAATAGACATATTTTGGACGATATATCTTTACCGTCATTGTTGATCAATTTAATGTATCCTTGCCGAATAAAAGTATTTCTGTATTAAAATAAACTTGGGGTACTTTTTGCATATAGGCTGCCATATAAGTGTGATGAGGAATATTATGCAAAAATAACACTAATAGTAAAATGTCGATATAGCAGCGTACACCAAATATGGACAAATCAAAACATATAAGCAGGTTTACATTAGTCCCAAATTGAGACTCCAGGTCATACTGACACGCATCCAGAGCACACACACATTTGCACACACTTACAGCAATAAAGATGGCAGTGGTCACAGCAAACCCAATGGCTAAATTCCCTGGTTCATTTATTTCTCTCCTGCGTTGATCTTCCACAGAAAATACAGTGAAACCCAGGAGAAACGTGGCAAGCATCTCCATCCCAAGAGCTTGACCTGCGTTCATTTCCACTGGGACCTTCAGAGAAGGAAATGAGAAGGAATTTTTATTTGTAATAAATTGATTGATTGATTGAGTGATGTTAACATTGAGTGTCATCTCTGTATCTCTATGGACCGGAAAATAAGTGCAAAGAGCTCTAAGGAGCATAATTCTCAACACAACCCTGTATCAATTCATCAAATCAGTTTTCATTGGTCCTGCAACAACATATATACAGTATATATATATAGTAGTGTTGTCAAACGATTAATCACGATTAATCGCATCCAAAATACAAGTTTTTGTTTACATAATATATGTGTGTGTACCGTGTATATTTATTATGTATATATAAATACACACACATGCATGTATATATTTCAGA